ATTTTATCACATTTGTCTCTCAAAAAATAGACAATCAATATATATGTAAAATAGACCATTCATTTTTTTAGAAATAAATGCAATAAAATGAAAATGTTGTTATTATCGAATTGACCTAAATTGTTTCATAGATGATATACATTGAGAGTCCTACAAAATGAATGGTTCACATCATCAAAATGATACCCATAGTAGGCTCTATGGGCCCTTCATGTTCTCTCATGTTGAGAAGCCCAACCCTTCTAGTAAATCTTATGTGTTATTTAGTTATAACTAATTTATTTTAAGTTTTAGTTATAGACTCTTGTAGGATTGAGTTATAACATTTGTAGTAATCAAATTCATAAATATCATAATTTGCATATGGTACACACCATTATCCATTAGGAAACATAACCAAAAAATAATAAAGAAAACCCAAAAATATACCAAAAAGAGAAGTGATTTAATACAAAAATTTGAATTCTAAGAGGAAAAAAAAAAAAATAAAGTGTCAAAACAAACACCTAAAACTAAGGGGCAAACTTAACTTTACCTGTGATTTGGGTCGTGTGCGGTTTCTCCCTTAAGGTTTGGAAATAACCACATAACTCCCTTATTGGTTGTAAATTGAAGTGCACGTTAGACTCATTAACGATTTAATGAAAAAAACTAAAATATCCCTATATTTTCGTCATATGTTTGAAAGACAAAGTGTATTTTAATTTCTGTGCTTTATTCCATGTGTGATTTACCCTATTGAAATTTGAGAATGAATATATAACCCTCTTAGTCTGTTACATGTTTCACACTTGCTGTTTAGTTAAACAGTGTGTTTAAGGTACACTTTAGTCCACCACGTGGGGCTTATGTAGTCATCTTCAAATGTAGAGAGGTAAACCGAACATGGACCAAATCACAGAGGGTAAAGTGAAATCAATCAAGCTGAGTTGATTCATTTGTGTTATCGAGGTCGAATACCTAACTTGAGTTCGTCCATAATTAATTTAGTTTGAGCTCGGTTCGAAATTTGATGATGATTTTTTTGGAGTCTATTATTGACATTATTTAAATAATTAAATATTATTTTAAATTTTTTATTTTTTTGCCAAGATTGTAGGATGCTAATTTTGTTAGTAAATTTAGATTACAATTAAAGGTCACCGCTGTGATCAATTCGAACAATTAACCTTCCCCTCACCACATCCTAAAGTGTGATTATAACTTATTAAGACCACTAGGCTAAACGTCACTACAGGAAATATTAGATTTGGCGACGTATTTTTAACGGCGTTTTTAAAAACGCTACTGTTATTAATATTTAATGGCGTTTCATAAACGTCGCATTTTTTTCTAATCAAAACGGCGCCGTTTCATGAATAGAAGACGTTTATCAACGCCTTGAAATGGTTTTGTCCCGCACGCTCCTCTCCCTGTTTCACCTTTATTTTGAATCTGACTCTGACTCTCACTCTCGCTCTCACTCTCGCTCTCTCTCTCTCTCAAAATCGAAATCGTTTCGGATCGTGATCTTACATCGGTGATTCATCAGAAATTCTTCAAAATCAAGTCAGAGCTTCGAAGATCTTACATCCCCTCTCCCTGTTTCACCTTTATTTTGAATCTGACTCTCACTCGCCCTCTCGCTCTCTCTCTCTCTCAAAATCGAAATCGTTTCGGATCGGTGATCTTACATCGGTGATTCATCAGAAATCTTTCAAAATCGAAGTCAGAGCTTCGAAGATCTTACATCGGTGATTCATCAGAGCCATTTCGAAGTTCTCTCTCAAAATCGATTCAGATCGGTGAATCGATTCGGATCGGTGAGCTACTCTCTCTCTCTCTCTCTGTTGTACAGGTGCCATAATGTAGCGAGTAGTGACAGCAAACTCCTGCTTAGAGTAGACAATGTGAATGTTGCTCTTGGATTTGAGGAATATAAGATTCTTGTGACAGATGATAACCTTTAATTTGTAGCACCGAATGGCCATTTTATCTAATTTTAAGGGCCATGAATGTTATAAGCTTAAAAGCAATCAAAGACACAAAGATTACTTAACACAACATAATGGAAAGAAGTTAAAACCGAACATCTGATGGATTTTTTTATTTTTTATATCGTCATTGACATCATTTTTGCTACTACATTGAATACTTTTGTTAGATTTACCTTCTCTAAATACGTCTAAACCTTTCAGATGCTGAGGGATTGATTTTTTGTTTTTTCCTTATTGAATTATAAGTTTGTCTCTCTATTGAGAACTACTGTTTTTAGTATAAATTTCTGCTACTTGGCTGAACCTTTGCTAAATACATTAGTGTTGTTGTTGTTCCTATTTTAGCATTTTAGCCAAATCTGCTAATGCATGAACATCTTTATTATATTCAAAGTGTGTAGATTTTTCCTAATTGATGGTAATTGTTTAGTAATCAAGTAACATGAAGTTCATATAGGAGATAGAAGTTCATGGGATTTAATTTTTTACTATTTTATATTACCAATAGAAGTTGGAACATGCATTGTTTTTCATAAATGATTTAGAGATACATGTTCGAACAAAACTAGTTATCCTTTTTTTTTATATATATAAAAATTTTATATGACTATATTAAAATCATAACTTTTTGTTGTTCATGGTTGGTTTCCAGATGACTCCATACTGTAAAATAGATTCTGATTCAGTGGAGCTCAAAACTTTGATTTTCGTAAAATGTATCTAGTTTTTTAATAACATCTTATATTTATATATATATATATATTATATTGAATGCCATAGGAATTCCGATGTTCAAATTCCTTTAGAACATCAAAAGCAAGTATCAGCTTGAGCAAGCATTATTATTTTGGTTAATATCACTATGATAGGAAAAACTATACCATTTCAGAATGATACTCTACTCTGGTTCATTGATTTTTACTTCTCTAGTTAATGCTTGTGATGTAGACAAAGACGGTAAGAATTGTACAGTGCTTCTTTTGCAATGTAAAGAACTCTGCCACTATGATATGTCTTAGTACTATTGGGTATATGTGCATACATGTGAATGCGCACAAAAGATACACAGCAGACACGAAAATGCAGGCGTTTGGTACTGAAACTTCATAGACACTTTTTATTGTTGGAATTGTGTTTTTGCATATTCAGGATCAGAGGAAGCTCATGCGAGAAGGGAGGTGAGCTTCCTTCGTCTGGTAATTTTTTGTTTTAGATCTTGTTAGTGTTTGAAATCGTGCTTGTTCCATTGGTTAACCAGCTCATGGACATTTGATCCTGAACTACTGCTAAAATGTCTCATGACTTTGAAGAATCAGGTGAGTAACTATTTATGTTGAAATTGTAGATTTAGTTCATAGACTTATGGAATTTTTTACGGCTTCTCTTCTATAGTACTTTGGAATTTATTGCTTATAGGCAA